TCTACAGATGCATCGACCGGCTCGGGTTTCTGCAGTGAGTTCTCTGACATCCCCCATCTTAGCTCGGGGCTGGGCACTGTTTCAGTTTGTTTGTGTTGCTATGACAGAAATGCCTGAGACTGGGTAATTTATAAGGAAAAGAGGTTTACTTGGCTTACGATACTGGGACAGCTGCATCTGGCACAGGCCTCAGGCTGCTTCTACTCATGATGAAAAGTGGCAAGTAGCCGGCAGGCACAAGCTGATCACATGGCGAGAGAGGAAGCAAGAGAGACAGAGGAGGTGACAGAGTCCTATAAACAACCAGCACTCGTGAGAACTAATCGAGCAAGAACTCACTCATTACTCCTCCCTCCCCCAGGGAGAGCATTAATCCATTCATGAGGGATCCACCCCCATGATTCAAACAGTTTCCAACACTGCCACATTGGGGATCAAATTTCTTTTCTTACTTTTTTTTTGAAGATGACCGGTAAGGGGATCTTAACCCTTGTCTTGGTGTTGTCAGCACCACACTCTCTGAAGTAAGCCAACCGGCAATCCCTATATGGGATCCGAACCCATGCTCTTGGTGTTATCAGCACCACACTCTCCTGAGTGAGCCACCAGCTGGCCCGGAGATCAAATTTACACCTGAGTTTTGGAGGGGACAACACATCCAAACTCCATCAGGATCCATCCTTCAAAAGGCCAGCATGAGGCAGGGCGTGTCTCCCAGGCTTGTGCTGACCCTATTCCCAGGGTGGTTACGAGTTCCTTGCTCCCCTGGAGGTCCACCCCAGTCAGCACATGGCTGCAGTTCTGTGGCTCATCCAGGCAGCTCTGGGGAGACGGCAGGTACCAAGCTGTGGTTGGGCCAGGCCCTTGGGGGCTCAGAAGTGTGGCTTTTATGTCTGCAAAAGAAAGAGGCAACCTGATGGCTGAGTCCTGTCCCCAGAAGGAGCCTGTCCTGCTGTCAGCTCAGCAGGGTGGGACCAGAGGGCACTTGGTTCAGCCTGTGGACAGTTGTCCATCAGGTCCCTGCAGGCTCAGAGGGGCACAAAGAGTCACAAAGTGTACGGAAGAGTGTGGCCATGTAGTGAGATGAGGGGCAGGGACAGGGCCCCAGCCCAGGAATGGAAGGGGGAAGGCCATGGAGGCAGGCAGGGGTGGCAGATGAAGGCCACCTGACCCGTTGGTCTGGTGCTGGGAGGCCATGTGAGGCCTGGTGGGGAGGAGACCAGCCTGGAGTCTGTCTTTCCTGAGGTCACAGGATGGAGAGAGGGAAGCAGCCTGGGGGAGCTGGGCTGCAGGGGACCAGATGTGACAGGTGACTCGGGGATGCATCTGAATGAGTGAGCCTGGGGATTGAGTGAAGGCACTGGGGGTGGACAGGCTGGATGAGATGGGGCCTGGGACAGCAGCTCCACCTGGGACCCCTGAGCCTCAGGAGCCTCGGTACCTCCAAGGACTGTAGTGTGCACTGGATCCAGACTCCACTCTCTGCTGCTCAGAAACACTGCGGGCGGGGAGAGGATGCCATGGGCTGAGACAGGGCAGGAAGGCATGAGGAGGAAAGCCACTGCAGGGGGAGGGAGGAGGACACAGCACTGATGTCCCCAAGAGCTAGCTGAGGCTGGAGATCTGTCCCAGGGTGATCCCGGCCACCTGCAGGGCCCTCAGTCGCCGTTCATGGCCCAGTGGTGTCCCCCAGCACAGGCAGAACATGCACAAGGCAGGAGTTTGGGCTGATCGGGGGGCTGAGGGGCCACATTCAGAGGATCTCACAGGGCAAGGGAAAGAGCAGGATCAATGTGGCTGAGGTGACAGCAGGGTCTGTGGGCCAGACGGGATGGGGTGAAGTCAAGGAACAGGCATGACCATCGTCCAGGGTGCAGACACCTGCAGGGGGTGGCGTATGCTCAGAGCTTGGCCAGGGTGGGGTGCCACGTGGGACAGCTCCAGGGTGCACCCTTGACACACTGGGAAGTTCTCAACCCAGACCCCTTGGACCCCATGAGCGTGATGTGGTAACTTCCTTGGGGGCAGCTGTCAGAGACCAGCCAACTGACCCTCAGGCAGTGCTGTTCTTAGCAGCTCTGGACTCTCTCACCTCTCCCAGAGGGTGATGCCTGCAGCCCAGGAGGGCCGTTCATGGCCCAGTGGTGTTCCCCAGCACAGGCAGAACAGGCACAAGGTAGGAGTTTGGGCTGATCGGGGGGCTGAGGCGCCACATTCAGAGGATCTCATAGGGCAAGGGAAAGAGCAGTGTCAAAGTGGCTGAGGTGACAGCAGGGTCTGTGGGTCAGACGGGATGCGGTGAAGTCAAGGAACGGGCATGACCATTGGCCAGGCTGCAGACACGGGCAAGGGGTGTTGTATGCTCAGAGCTTGGACAGGTTGGAGTGCCACATGGGAGAGCTCCAGGGTGCACGCTCAACACACTGGGAAGGTCTCAACCTAGACCCTTTGGACCCCATGAAGGTGATGGGGTAATTTCCTTGAGGGCAGCTGTCAGAGACCAGCCAACTGACCCTCAGGCAGTGCTGTTCTTAGCAGCTCTGGACTCTCTCGCCTCTCCCATCCCAGAGGGCTCTACCTGCAGCCCAGGAGGGGCAGGTGCACGCTGCACCCCCAGCCCCCACGGCCCCTGAGCGGCCCTGGCTGGCCCTGCTGCACCTTTGCTTTTGTGTCTCAGACCATCCTGGCTGGCAGCCAGCAAAAA